ACAACTTATTATCTGGTCTTTTAAGGGTCAAACCCATTTGTTCGCCAGGCCCCGATGGAGTACCAGGCTGTGTGCTAAAATACTGTGCCAGGGCTCTGTGCAAACCTCTACTTAGACTTTTCAACTTATCTTTGGAAACCTCGATTTTTCCCCTTAAGTGGAAGGAATCATTTATAATTCCCCTACATAAAAAAGGGAAAAAGTCAGAGGCTGCCAACTACAGAGGCATCTCTAAGTTGTCGGCAATTCCAAAGTTATTTGAAAAATTAATTACCCCTCATTTGCAACACCTTGCTCTTCGATTATCACTCCTTGTCAGCATGGCTTTATTAAGCGTCGCTCCACCACCACAAACTTATTGGAGTTGACATCCTTTGTCATAGACGGCTTTTGTAAGGGATATCAAACCGATGTAATTTACACAGACTTCAGCAAAGCATTTGATTCAGTTAATCACTCACTCTTGTTGAGTAAACTGAATATGCTGGGTTTTCCTAAAGACCTCTTAACGTGGATCTCCAGCTACCTAGATGGAAGGACACAAAGAGTCTTATTTAAAAACATACAGTCCCGTCTGGTCTGTGCTACATCTGGCGTCCCTCAAGGAAGTCATCTTGGCCCGTTATTATTTACGCTTTTTATAAACGACTTGCCCCCTGCTTTAACGAACTCTCTAGTTCTTATGTATGCAGATGATGTAAAGCTTTGTCTTCAGTACAAATCCATCTCTGCCCAATGCAGTCTTCAGTCTTAATAACTTTCAAAAATGGTGTTTAGCTATTGATCTAATACTTAATGAATCAAAATGCAAACATATGTCTTTTTATCGTTCTTGCCCTCTGCAAGCTACTTATTCTATTAATGGGATTGCCTTAGAAAAATTAACCCAGGTTAATGGTCTCGGCATCCTATTAGACATCAAACTTAAATTTGCCGACCATATTTCCTTAATGGTTAATAAGGCTAAAGGAGTCCTTGGTTTTATCAAAAGGTGGTCAAAAGAATTTAATGAACCCTATATAACCAAAACACTATTCATTTCTTTGGTCGGTCCTATACTGGAGTACGGTTCATGTGTCTGGAGTCCCCAAAATGGAGTACATAAGGACCGCATAGAACCCGTACAAAAGAACTTTTTAATATTTGCACTTAGAGGTCTATACTGGGATGCAAATCTTCAGCTTCCATCCTACAGTAGCAGACTTTTACTTATAAATTCACCAAGCTTAACAAATCGTAGGACAATGCTCGGTGTAGTCTTTCTGCATAACCTTATTATCGGGGATGTAGATAGCCAGCATTTACTAACACGCTTAAATTTCAACATTCCTAATAGAAGGACTCGAAACTTTAGTCCTCTGTTCCTTAGCCGTTGTAGTTCGACATATGCACTGCATGACCCTTTTAGGGTATTATGTTCGAACTACAATGGTCTCTACTCTATTACATCTCTTTCCTGTCCTTCTAATTTAAAATATAGAATTTTAAATTTCCTTACTAACTCCTCTTAGCTTAACAAATTTCAATTAGCTTAATATGTACTAACAAATCGTTTCTCGAGCGCCCCTCGGTCGTCTGGGCCTCTAAGCTTTATGATGAATACAGGAATGCTAGCTGATGCTCTTATTGATGCACAAGCTATTTCCAAATTCTGAAAGACCGCGAAAAAAAAAAAAAAAAACAAACTGGATGGTTTACCACGAGCACGCCGCGTATAATTTTCCGAGTATCAAATGTCGAACATTTCGAATTGACTTCAGGAACACGTTAGAGTCTGGATCCGTGCCGATAAGCAAGCCGTTTAATGGTTTAGGTGCTGTTTCAATTTCTGGTAGTTGCACTTTTCCTGACGCACAACACATCCCAGCTGGCTCATTTTTGAATTTCAGAGCACGACAATGCGGACATTCGTTGTCCATAGCACCAATTACCACTTTTGAGTGAGCATAATACTCAATATCAGGCTCATACTGGAATGCTAGACGCAGGAATAAATCAGAAATAAATGCTAGATGTACCTGTTGTCGTTGTTGGTCATTTGTTTTGCGTCTATGGACTGTGAAGCGGCGTGAATGTCGTTGTTCTAAAATTCTGACTTTATTGCGTTCAGCTCGTGTATCTTCTGGCTCTTCTTGATGCAATTTCGCTATTCTAACACGTACATCAGTATTTTGTTGCTCGATTTGTTTTTCGGTTCTTTCAGATCTTCTATTTCAAATGTTTCGAGATCTACTTGTATCACGGCACAAATCACCCCTTTGCGTTTTCATGGCATTGCTCACTGCACAAAACACTCATAAATAGAATTAATGTATTTACTTAATTAGATTAGATTATTAAGAATACTATGGTAGTGTGAGTTTGTCAGTGTGATGAGGTAGTAGCTCCCTTTATATGCGATTTTTGGTATGTCGAACAAGATTTAAGAGGATGAAAAATATATGTTAGCGGATTCTCAGACCTATACGTTTACAAAGTTTCATGAGAATTGGTATAGCCGTTTCGGAGGAGTATGGTAACAAAAACTGTGACTGAAAATTATATATATATATAAATATACCTTAAAATACCATTATCAATCGACACACACATTATATACAGACACACATTACCCTTCAGTACCAAAAATTCCTTTCCCGACTTTTCCTGGCGACATGTTCGAAAAACAAAAACAAATTGCATGGGCTTCGTTTACTTAAGTCCGTAACGAAAGGGGAAACGAAACTTCTACCTGCTTTCGGTTTTCGACAATGATTCTCGCAGCTTCTACGTCATATTTTCGGAGCAGAGGCACGCGACAGAGAGACAATTAGAGAGATGTAGATGAAGGGAAGGGAGAGAAAAAAAATCGGTGTCGAAAACCAAATGAATGGAAGCGACGTCAGAATACCCTTTTTAAAATATGTTGAAATATTTATATATATTTAAGATTATATCTAATTAATTTTTCTTATCTAATCATATGGTATATTGAAACGTATTAATAATTGGCTTTAGGCAAAGCCAAAATGTTCATGTTTGATTATTTGCCTTGTGCGACTATACCCTGGCACGCGCCAGAATTATCGGTTGTCAATTTTCGGTTTTGTCTTGCCTCTCCCCTTCTCTTTGCATTTGATGTTCAATTTGCATAAAAGTTACACGCGTTTGTTTGTTGCGTTTAAAGTTAAATTTTTTAAAAAACATTTAAGTGATAATACCTGGTGATAATAACTTATTGTGGTGAGTAATGCATATAATGAACTTATTTATTAGCAAGGCCACCAGCACCGACGAGGCATTGGCAGCGTTAGAATTCGCCTAAGGCCGCGGCATGAAGGAAGAATGTGTATAATATTTATAAATTAAATATAAAAAACTGTTTAATACCTATAAATTTTTTCAGACCACCGCAGTGACCAATATATTGAAGCGCGGACCCCTGACCAAATCGTTAAAATATATTTTCGTCGAGGACCTGATCGTCCAGTACAATATTGACGGAGTTAGTGGGAAGAAGAGATTAAAGACGTTTCCAAATTTTTATGGAGTTTTGATTGGTATGTATTTTAATAAAAAATAATGTAAGCAATATCTAATTTCTTTTCTATTTTTCTAATTTAATTTCTATCTTTAAATTCCTTACAGATTCCTCACGGTATACCCCAGAGATTCCTTGGGGTATTTCCTCACAGACTGCAGGAATCCTGCAGTATTCCTTGAGTTCTTCAAATTCCTCGATGTGAGGAACTCTTCTATTCTAGGGAAATACTATTACCTAGACGTTTCCTTGAGTAATCCTTGAGGTATGGTACTGAAGGGTATATACATACACACATACATATATATAGATATGCTGAAATATTAAAAAATAAAATATAACAAACAATATGGTACTCCTTTCAGAGGCTGAAAAACTGAAAACTTTTAGAGTAAGATGCTCTCTGGGGTTTGCTGGGGCCTGGGGCCTGTTACAAGACATTTTCGCGTCCGTTTTCATTGCATGAAATGAGTAGTTTATATGTTGTATGGTTAGTGGTAATACCGACAAACGCTTAAAGGCGCTTGTATTCGCATAAATCGACACTTAAAGTTTACACTAAACACTAAATACGTAACACTTACACTAAACCTCCAAAAAATTGGAAGTTTTAGGAAAATCAAAAAAATACGATAAGCTTAGGATCAATGTCAAAAAGAACTTCAATATATATTTAATATTATGTGTTAAAAGCGGTTTGGTAGTAAATGTGAAACTATTTGTATTTTTACACTCTTTTTAAGCGTAAATTCTTTACGCTGCTTATAAGTGAAGTGACTTGCGGACTGCCTAAATCAACTGTTAGGGGGTTACATTTTAGTATCAAAGTTACGATACGTACTATATTGAGCGTCATTTAAATGATGAAAACATTCAAATTAAAAGATTAACGATATAAACGGAAAACAAAAAATGAAAGCTAACTTCGAGCGGAGCCAAAAGGAGCACCCTTGCAGTTAAACCCGGATATTAATCGCAAATATCGGATAATGTTGGCCGATCCTGATGAGAATATTATAATAAAACAAATTTTTTGCAACACAAAATATAAAACAAGTCGTAAGCTTCTATCTTCAAAAATACCAAAGTTGATATTCTTACCAAATACTAAATACCATTTCCGATCGTTCAGTTATACGGCAGCTATAAAATATAGTCGGCCGATCGTTATGAAATTTGGTAGGTGGGACTTTATTCTAGGCCTGTCATATAACTAAACAATCGGAAGTAGCCCAACATTTTTTTAAGATAAAAGGTTCGGACTTTTCTTGTTGTATGTTGTATTGTTGTATTCTATATTTTTTTTTATTATATAATTCTCATAAGAATTGCCCAACTATACCCGATATTTCCCAGAAAAACCCGATCTTAATTGCAACTTCGGCTCCGCCAGCAAATAGCTTTCCTTTCTTGTTATTTGATTATTATTTATATATTTTAAAATTGGTTTAATTTTATAGAAATTTATCAAAAAGCTTACCCTGTTTCAAAGTTATATGTTGGTCTTTTAATAAATAAGAACGGTGGTAAAAGGTCGATGAACACGTGCTTTACCCAAGGCGCCATTCTATGAGTTTGGGGGGAACGAAAATGCACGTTCAATACAACGACTGTGACGCAAATACTATAAGTTAAGATTATAATTAAGACTAAAATACATATATGGGAAAATAAAAATTTTACCTTATGGATACAAGTATCATCGCAAATATAAGGTACTTTCCTAATAAAGGTACCACTAGTGAAGTAGGAGGGATTATTTCCACCACCAGTAAGAAGAACACATGGAGACTAATCAAAATTGAGATAGACAATGTGACCTAAAATATTTTTTAACGAATATAAAAAAAAAATCAAAATTAGTACAAAAAAGTTGTAAGTAAAAAAATTATATTGTACTTAAAACACTTTTTTAAAAGCTTTGCTACTCCCATAGTGATTAGTTTTGCTCTACTCCGAGTTTTCTCGGCCGTTGCCGAGACATCAATACAAATAAAATTTCTAGAGTAAATTAAAACAAAAAAAGCGAACAAAATGAAAGTTTATTCAATGACAGGATTGCAATTGTCTTCACTTGTATCATCACTTCGTTGCCTTTAAATAAACATAAAATTTCTATTGCATCTAAATAAGTTGAGTTTACCCCGATAAAAAAATCTCACAAAGTATCGTAACTTTAACAATTTTAGCACAGTCATTTTCCCTGTTGTTCCATTTTCCCTGTTGTGAACCACAGTCAAATTCTTAGTTTATGATCCGAGAAAAGTCGGAGCAGAGCAAACCACATCCTTTTTTATTGATCTCCTATAGCTGTGCTTTTTCCCTCGTCAAAGAAAAAGCGGCAGCAATGGGAACACAATATTTTTATAAATCTGGCAGCTATTATTTTAAAAATGTAGTTTTATTTATACAAACCTTTTCTCCACTGTCGGATGGCAAATAAAAAGTCAGCACCGTCAGAAAGGATATACCCATGCAGGGTATAATAATATTAACCGTATAAAAAAGAGTTTTTCTCCTCATTGTAATATTAAAGGTAATATCGAGATAGGGTTCATCACAACAAGTATAAAACTTTTCATTTCTGAAAAATATAAAATAATCCATATTTACTTTCATATTATATATAATTATTATTATTTTTTAATAATTTTTGTTTTATAACCAGGAATTAACTGTTTATAATTAACAATCTCCTTGTTCCAGAAGTCTTACTTTTATATTTTTGAAACAAAACAAAATGATAATTTAAAAAAAAAAAGAAGAAAGTATTTCGGGCGTAGCCAAATCCTTGCAGTAAGGAGTAAAGAGCGGATGTACATACATAAATCTTAAATAGCGCATATAGTCAGTCGGTGCATTGTCACCTTCCTTGGCTTTGCCCGACCTTGTCACCTCTTTTGTCTTGTGGGGAGATTTAATCTCCTCACATCACATATTCACACAAAAATATACATTTTTCAAATCAAAATTTTGATTCTTCAAGATCTTTATTTTACTAAGATCTTAAACACCACAAGCTGTTTTTCTGTTTTAGCTCGCAACAATTTGCCGCGGCCAGCTCACAGAGTTTGTGGGTCTGTTCCACCGAATTTATAGTTCGACGTAATTGCCCGAGCCCAGAAATAATACAAATAGCATAGAACTTTCCAAAATCTTTATTTACAAGCTTTTCCCAAAATTCAATAGCTTGATTTCAATACCAGTTTATTGGGAATACCAAAAGTCACACTTATACACATACACATTGTGTGTGTGGGCAAAGGGATGAACAATGAAGATCTCAGAGAGAGCCAAAGTTCTCTTTGTTTTTTCTCTCTCTCTCTGCCTAAGAACGTTTTTATTACCTTCCTTTTGTATGCTTATGCGTACCCTTACTTACTTGCTTAAAAACAACGAGAGCGTGCGGTTGTGAAAATAAAAATTAACTGAAACAAACAAAGTGTTTTACTACTTGGCAAATCTGGCTGGTGTCATACAGGTTCCGCTCCATGTTCTAGCTGCTTCTACTGGTTCCGCCCGGCTCCGTCGGCAGCGCTTTCTGCTTGTCGTTTCCGGGTTGTTCCGGTCGCTACCCCTGATCTGTCGCCCCAGCTGCTCTTCTGTGCTGTGTTGCCTTAGAATCCCCTATGGGCCTTCCTTCCTCTCAAAAACACCCCTTTGGGTCGTCTCCGACTAATCAAAGACTGGCCAGCGCTCTTCCGTTCCGCTGCTCCAGGGATCCACTGCGCATACGCGCTAGTCGGCCGGGATTGGGAGTTGGCTGCGGACTGTCGCCCCCGCTACACCTGGACACCGCGCATACGCGCAAGCGCCAGGTTTGGGAGTTGCCTTGGTTGTCGCCCCCACTACTAGCGAGCCAGGATTGGGAGTTGACAGTGGTAGTCGTGACCCTCTGGGGACACACCTCGCAAACGCGCTAGCGAGTCCGAAGTTGGGAGTTGCAAGGCTGGTGGGCGTGAGTTCGCGAGTCGGCCTATCCTTATTTGCAGAACTATGCCTATTGGTTGCCATTTCAGGAGTCGGCAAGGCGTACTCCAGACTTGTCCTTTCCTCACTTCCTTGCAAGGCTACATGCCTAGGACGGGAATGGCCCAATTCGACTTCAATACCCTGGGCTTGTAGAGGAACCGCCCTGCAACGGATCCTTTCTTAGCTCGTTCTTTACGTTCTCCTTTCTTTGGGATGTTGGACTCTCCAAAGGCGGTTCTTCAGCTCAAACCACCGAGTCCTTTTTAGAAACGCTCTATCACTTGAATAACGGACTCTCCAAAGGCGGTCCTCCAACTTAACGCTACAAGCTTCCTAAATAGACTCCTGCCGATTCGCTCTAATGCCTCCTTTTATATTGGTTACAGCGCCCGTTGATCCCCCTGGATTCTTCTCCTGCCGTTAATCCTACTTCCAAAATCACGCCACTTTCCCGTTGGCGGGTAGCCGTCCGTGCGTCTCTCCCGGCCACGGACCTCTACTGTTGCTATAGTTTCTACTGTTCCGCACTTTGCGTCGCACCTCCCATTGCTCCTTGCTCCTTCGCTGTTGCTCATCCCGACGCACTTTCCTAACACGCGCAGGCGCGGCGTGCTGATCCCTCCTCCCCCTTTGACTACCTTTCCATCGTTTCACTGCGGCTCCGGGAACCGTTACGTTCCATGTTGGTTCCGTCTTCCCACGGGGCGGAGGCGTTTTGCCCCTCCCCGCCCCCTTCGCTCCTTGACTCAAGGCACCTTTACTTTCCCCCCAAGCCACCGTACTGATCTTGGGAATATTCCCCGTGACCGCTCGGTTGTTGACCGGTGCTTGACCCCTTTTTGCCGCCTTTTGCTCCCCCCTCGACCCTCCTTTGCTCCCCTCCTACGTTTCTTGGCGTGTGAGACTAAATGTCACGGTTGTCCGGACAATGTTTCGCGGGTCTCATCATAAACGTACCAAAAAAAATTGATTCTCGGCCGTTGCAGTATGGATACCTATCCACTTTTCCCTCCTCTTCGGGATCGTCTGACCGCTCCCCTCCCCAACGTACATATGTGTTCCTGTTCGTTTATTTTTTTCCCCTCTTTTTTGTTTTAGTAATATTTTCTATATACTTAAAATCTTTTTTTGTTTTTATTAGTTTTTTAGTAATATTTTTTCTATAATTTTTTTTTGTACTAATTAATTTTTTTTTTTTTTAAACTTTTCATATATATATTTTTTTGTTATCCCTTCCCTATTTTTTACCCCTTTTCTTTTTTTTTTATTTTATTCCCTTATTTTCTATTATTTATTACCTATTAGTTTTATCTTATTTTTTTTTTTTGTTTTGTTGTTTTTTTTTCTCAATTATTTTTAGGAAGCATTTTGCTTCCACGTGCGTTACGACGGCCCACCTTTTGGACCGTTTCTCCGCCTTTCCACCTCTCCTGCCACCCTTGCGCAAGGCTTCGGTAGCCACCTCTCCTCCGGGACGTCTTTTTTGCCCCCGGCCGTCTAGGGCCGGCCATAACCACGGCCTCTTTGTCCATGGTTCGTCCTCCTTGGGCTCCGTCCTTGGGCGTGGGGTTGGCGGTATTATAGGTCACGGGATCGCCCGTCGCTTTGCTACGAAACTGCGACGCAGCGAGTAACAAGAGCGAGTACTACTTACTACTTAACAGAGTGATAACATTTTTAGGCGGTACAATTCAAATATTTCTCCTAAGTATGGGAATAAGGAACACACGTAGAGATCTTGCAGCTCGTGCTCGTTGGGGGTTATTTTATTTGCTCGTAGCTTGCTATGCCCCGTCTCATAGCTAAGTAGCCCAAGTTGCGAGTTCTACGTATTTCCCTTACCTATTATCCGCCTAAAAATGTTATCACTCTGTTAAGTAGTAAGTAGTACTCGCTCTTGTTACTCGCTGCGTCGCAGTTTCGAAGAAAAGAATAGAAGGAGCAGATAGGAGACAGTAATAAAAGAACTTGGATTGAATTCGGTTGATGCGTTGTTACTGGGACCATAGTTGCTGGCCTGAAACAGGCATTTTCGCAGTTTGCCAATTTGGAGCAAACATTTTTTGGCGCCCCCGGGTGGACCCAGAAGGACGTATCATCATATATACATAGCAGATCAGCTATACATTCACCGTGGAATCTCAGTTCGGGCTTGTACTCGACACGCCGCTGGAATTCACCGTTCATACAGCAGATCAGCTTTACATATATACAGTCACCGTGAAATCTCAGTTTGGGCTTGTACTGGACACGCCGCTGGATTTCCTTAATCGCTAAGTAACAAATTGATAAAATTTCGGTAAATGACCTACATACATAAGCCTGCAAAAATCAGCCAAGGCGTAAGTTTTGAGGCAAACACGTGTCAAGATTACAGGTTGGTTCTTTAGTTGCTTGGTGCCGTTCTTTCTCTCTTCACATGCACATACCATCGCACACATCACACACACATACATACAGCAAAAATACAGTTCATCGATCAGAGGGAGCTTTGGGAATCGTTGCAGCACCTTGATTGCGCTTAGTCCGAGTTTAGTGGATTCGAGTTGTTCAATTTGTCTCTCTGCTGTATTTGTCTTCAGCTCACATACAATTCGGGTAAAGTTATAACAAGGTTCCAAAGTTAAAATAAGTTCAATCAATAACCTATCGTAACACTAGATAACTGTGCTTTCTACTTGAGAATTCAATTTAAATTAAATCATTGGCTGGCAAAGATTCACTTATATTGACATTTTAGCGTAAAATTGCATCATGGCTCCGAAGCGACGTTTAAGTCGTCAACAAAGTTCAAGTGCACATGATGTCAATGATGGCAACGATCGTGCTAACTTATTACTCTCGCGTCTTGAAAGTGTTAAGGGTGACATAGACCGCATGGGAGAGTTTATGCAACAACAAATCGTATCCATTCGAGGCAGCGAATTAGAGTGCAGATTAGACATTTTAAACAATTACATAAATCGTGCATTTAACCTTCAAGATGAAATTGAGTCCATTAATCCGGCATTGTCCTCGCGAGCTGAGCTTGAGGATAAGTGTGTAGCCACAAAATCTCTTTATATGTCAGCTATTGGACAGAATCAAAGACCACCATTACTTAACTCGACCCTTAATACCACAAGCTCCCATAATAAAAATTTACCTCGAATGAATTTACCTAAGTTTTCCGGATGCTACTCAGAGTACAAGAACTTTATTGGTTTATTCACTAGTCTCATAGATAGCGATCCAACTCTTAGCGACGTCGAAAAATTTAATCACCTGTTGTCATGTCTGGAGAAAGAAGCGTTGGGGACCGTGAAAGCATATCAAATAACTGAGACCAATTACCCAAAGGCACTAGCCGCCTTAAATCGGGTGTACGACAATCAGTGTTTAATTTTTTTTGATTGTATCTCACGCCTCTTCGACATTCCCTCAATGCAGGGTCCGTCCGCCTTATTACTACGTCACATGATAGATACTGTCACAGCTATCTACGAATCCTTGCTTTCATTAGGCAGTGACAAAGTAATAGCAAATGCAATGCTCATACACATCGTCATGACCAAAGTGGACGCAAAAACTAAGTCTAAATGGGAAGAAAGTTTAGACTTTCAAAACATCCCC